AAACTAAAGAAATTTAAAGTTCTCTGCATTTGCAACTTTTTGTAACATTGTTTTTAAAAATATTAAATTTCTGAATTATTTTTAGGCTTGTGTTTTTAAAAATATTAAATTTCTGAATTATTTTTAGGCTTACGTTTGTATTTTTTATTATTTTTACGGCCGTTATGAAATCAAAATAAAAAAAAATGAATTTCATTCATGTAAACAACAAGATAGAAAGATTCTCGTCAACTCGCTGGCCTCCATCACGACATGTATACTGTTCATGTCTAGAAAAAACAAACTTCGCAAAAGAGACTGGCGTAGTTTCTTTTTCTATACTCAAATAGTAGCCTATACATGTGGCAGGTGATATAGCTGTGTATGCATACACAGAGGCGTAGCGACGGGGGGTGGCGGGGGGTGCAGACCGCACCGGATGACACCATTTAGGTTGGTGACACCAAAGCAAAAAATAGCAAAATATATAGATAAAAATGATAATTCCACTTAATTAAGTGATTAATTCGAGTGTTAAATAGTTTTCAAGGGGTGCAAATCGAAAATTGAAAGTTCGTTCCCGGAAATAGTCGCTACGCCTCTGGGGGGGGGGTGACACCATTAAGAGCAGCACCGGGTTTCACCCGACCTAGCTACGCCACTAAACACACACTTTAGGTGGTAAGCTTGAATGTGGATCTACACTTTATGTAGCTATTGGAAGTAAAACAGTCGCATTTCAAAATCTGACATATTAACCCACTCTAAGCATACAAACTTGCAAGTGGCAAGCTTGACTGTGGATCCATAAGATATCAGTATTAGTATGTGTCCTATACTTAAAGTACAGAAATTCAAACACTCCGTTTGTAAAAGACATAATTTTTAAAGCAGTATTAGTAGAATTGTCCATAACAGACCACATGTACATGTACACAAACCTCTTATGAGAGTTTGTGATAAGTAGACACTTGTAACACTCTCCATAACACGTCATTAAATGTAGACAACTGTCTAGACGTGTTAATGGGGCCGCACTATTAATGATACACATCCTGAACAGTAAGCTCCTGAATTACACGAGTTGTTTAATAATTGCACATCTGTAACCTCTGGTAGGACCAAAATGGATAACTGTTTCTTGTTTGTTGCACTATTGGTTACCATTCTGGGGCTATTTAGAAATACTGCATTTGCTTCAGGTGATTATATTTTGTTAGTTTAATTATACAAGTGGAGTGAAATGGGTGTCTATCATTTTCTTACTTTAAACTGTGTGGTGACTAAAACTGGGAATAAAGAGCACGATAATTAACAATCCACTCACTGATTGTATATTTATCTCAAACAGCTTAATTAATTTCGCAGTGAACTGTTAAGGCGACTTCATATATAAATGCCCATATTAAACTTTTACACGATTGGTCATAAAAATATTGGCGATTTTATTGATGTTCAATACCTAACGCTAAGGCGAAGATGTATATTTCTATTAATCTTCAAACACTACAGAGATGAGATTAAAAAAAGATGAATTATGGTGTCGAGATTGAGTGATGAATGTGTCAGGGTAGGTTGGTAAATGTGTCAGGGTAGGTTGATGAATGTGTCAGATTAAGTGAGGTAAATGTGTCACAGTAGGTTGGTTAATGTGTCAGAGTAGGTTGTGTCATGGTAGGTTGGTAAATGTGTTAGGGTAGATTGGTATATGTATCGTTGTAGGTTGGTAAATGTGTCATGGTAGGTTGGTAAATGTGTTAGGGTAGATTGGTATATGTATCGTTGTAGATTGGTAAATGTGTCATGGTAGGTTGGTAAATGTGTTAGGGTAGATTGGTATATGTATCGTTGTAGGTTGGTAAATGTGTCATGGTAGGTTGGTAAATGTGTTAGGGTAGATTGGTATATGTATCGTTGTAGGTTGGTAAATGTGTCTGGGTAGGTTGGTGAATGTGTCACAGTAGGTTGGTGAATGTGTCGGAGTAGATTGGTAAATGTATCAGGGTAGGTTGGTTATTGTGTCAGAGAAGGTTGGTGAATGTAGTAGGGTAGGTTGGTGAATGTGTCCGAGCAGGTTGGTAGGTTGGTGAATGTAGTAGGGTAGGATGGTGGATGTGTCAGAGTAGGTTGGTGAGTGTGATGTAATAGTTTGGTGGATGTTTCTGGGTAGGTAGGGGACGGTGAACATTTATGGGTGTGGTAAGAAAGTGGCATTGTAAAGAAGCGAATGCCACCTATTTTCAAAATGCTACGCTTACGTTGTAGGTAATTATGTATACAAATTATAATTAGTACGTGTTAATAGGGCTGCAGATAAGGCAGTATACAATATATTATTATAATATTGCAGATATCTAGCTAGGCTTTGCTCCAGCATTTTATTGTCGTGTCTTATTATATTTTTCAATGCAGATTTGTTAGTTTGTTTAAAATCTTTTAATAAAAAAATTAAAATATAACACAATGCTGAAATTTTAAAGTAAACACGGCAAAATTTTTGTGATTCTAAAAACTTAATTACATTTAACCATTAACACAGTTTGTCAGAGGCGTAGCGAAGGGGCGGGCGGGGGGGGGGCGGACCGCACCGGATGACAACATTTAGGGGGTGACACCTAGGAAAAAAATAGCAAAATATATACAGAAAAATGATAATTCCACTTAATTAAGTGATTAATTCGAGTGTTAAATAGTCTTTTAAGAGGTGCAAATCGAAAGTTTGAGGGAAGGGGGGTGCAAATCGAAAATTGAAAGTTTGTCTCCGGGAAGGGTCGCTACGCTTCTGGGAGGTGACACCATAAAGTGCCGCACCGAATGACACCCGACCTCTCTACGCCACTGCAGTTTGTTACATAACTGAAATGCTAATTCTCAATCAAAAACTAATCATAAACATTTTCCTTACCTTAAAATGTTTGTAAATCGTTTCTTAAAATTAGACATTAAAAAAAACTATTTTCAATTATAAAGGATAATGTATATATTATTTCATACATTTCTGAAACATCCAATACACCTTTAAATTATTGAACTTTAAAATTACTTTACTGAAGACACACAGAGGTTAGTAATGTGGTAGAACAAAGAGAACAAGACTTAGCAGTTTACTAAATGATTTTTTCGTCACAGAAGGTTATATTATGCCTTATTTTTTAATTTTTCCTCTTCTGAAACAAAAAAAAATTCGCAAAAAATATGTATCGGAATTACAACATGTAAGAATAAATTGCTTTAAAATGAGTATTTATTTCGAACGTTTTCTATTTACGAATGTGAACCTATGTGTACACATTTTAGCTGTATAAGAAAACAAAACTTTTATGAACACATACTACTTTAAATATGTAGGCCTATTATTACAATCATTTTATTGTTAATTAAATTGTTATAAATCTAAGAGAGGATACTTGCAAAAATTCACAATTAAAATGTTGATGCCATTCATATCGGTATCAAGGCCTATTGACCATGTTTTTTTTATCAATCAATTATCGTTTAAATTTACATTTCTTTAAGACGTAACTTTAGCGTGTTAAATAGTGTACAAGCTGTCCTGGCCAGGCCCTGCACTGGCCTTTGTGAAGACATATCTGTAAAGGACCATGCCATGTGTGTTAAAAAACCAGCATATACCCACAACAAACCAAAACCAAAACACACAAAAAACGCAAACATAACACAAACACAAATACAAACACTAACAAAAACACAAACACAAACACAAACGCTAACACAAACCCAATCATAAACGCAAACACAAACGAAAAAAACACAACACAAACCTAAAGAAAACACAAACGCAAACATAAACGCAAAGTTGTCTCAGTCTATCCCGTGGCGCCAAAATCACACCATGCTGGGGCGCCTGCGGTATCGCCTGTTTTAGCTAAGTAACGACTATAGTACCCCAACTTATGCATAGTCATTTACACACGGGAAGGCCCGGGGCGCCAAATAGCTCACAGTCGAGGCGCCGGAGGACGCAGGGATTTGATTCACTTAAAGACTATAGTAACATTTCGTATCAACAGTCTATAGCACTGTTTAAAACAAAAGTATGCGCCATAGCGCTCACAAGATAGCCCGGGGCGCTAAATCGAACCCTGCGCCCCCTGTTTCAATTAAGTGAACAATTATAATACCCCAAGTTTATCCTCAAACGGAAAGAAGTAAACATAAAGAACAACTTCATCTGATGGAAACTTTATAGGTATACAACATAAACATAGCTCTTAAAAGAAATTGTTTCTTCAATCTTGCCTTTACAATCGAGAACGTAGTAAAACTTTACACTGCAAAATAAACTGTTAAAACGTCTGCTTAAAAAAAAAAGGTATGCACTATGGTAAGATAAAAAAAAAAAGACGACGTTTATAAGTAATGCGGCAGACATAAACGAGTTCCCCTTCCTGCCCAAAAAAAAAAGACAGAAACCTGCTGGAATTCTCGTTCTCGAATAAAAATGTCTAATAATAATTTGTAAATAGTACGTACAGAGTATAAAATAAATAAAGGCAGTATTCACAATACCTACCACATTACACTTGATCAATCCATGCTTATTATGTATTTACTTTTTCCCGACACTAAAACAAAGTAATAACAAATAATTTTTCCTCCGACGTAATGGTTTTGTAAAGGGAAGTAATTGTGTTTTCCTATCTTGTCAAGGGACGTAATAAGTGTTAGAAAACTAAGTTTAAATATTTTTAGACACAATTTGAACGTTTGTAAAAAGTGATACATATTTTAAACATTTTTGACGGTCCGCCACATACATAATTCAACTAAATATATTAGATTTACTTCTCAAATAAATCCTAAGGTTGCAAAGTTAAATAAGAGGTGGCAGTGCCAGATTCAAAAGTATATAAAGTGTATTAGTAAGGCTGCAGTTTTTATAACTATCATTTATAAAAACTGAAACAGACCATAAGGCCCCTTGCTAATATATGAGTGGACTGGTATTATAACCGTGTTCTTTCATTTATTTTTTTTTTTGCTCTATTCAGTGTCAGCCTTTACGGTTCCTCCAAACGCCATCAGGCTTAGCGAAGTCTCAGCGTCAAGTGTCACGTTGATTTGGGGCCATCAAATTGAACCGTGTTGGTACACAATCGAGTACAAAGAGTCTGACCACAGCAGTAGTCCCACAAATGTCAAACCCTTGACCCAACGTACTATGGCGACAGCCTACACAATCAGAAACCTAAAACCTAACACAACCTACATATTCAGGGTTGCGGCTGAGCACCTACTAGGCCGTATGTGGCCTATCCAGCCAATAGAAGTTACCACTGGAGAACCAGGTCAGTAGTATAGCCTCAATCTTAAATCGTATATAATATACCCAGAAATACACGATTGTATGTGTATATATATATTGTTACGGGTCAGAATTAGAGAGTTGAGTTTACCCTAGAATTTTGTTAACCCCGATGTGTTTATATATTGTTATCCCAGGGTCGAATGCCGTATAAAAGTTGGAGTGAATAGTTGTAAGGGGGTTAGTTGGTAACGGATAGAGCGAGGGCTAATCTGTTATGTGAAGAATTGAGTCCAAATGAAAGTATAGAAGATAACCACGAATCGTTTCCTGAGTTGACCCAAACCCCGCGGTAACACATATGCATAAACACACACACACATAAAGGCCTATAAATATATATATATATATATATATATATATATATATATATATATATATATATATAATCATCGACATTTGAATATATTATATGGAATTAAAGGTTATAGGCCTAAATATATTTTAATTAGCGAATTTTATTGAAAGTAAAAGATTATCACTACAACTCTAGTAAACATTTGGAATTTCTTCATCTTTAAAAAAGTATAGCTTTCTCTTTCACTATAATTATATGGGGAATTAAGATTTATGCGTGCAGCTGTTAACTGAAACAGTGAATAAATGTGACAGGTGGACGGTGAAGTATTAACTAAGTAGGGTTCTTTTATGTGACGGAATGGTCTAACGGTAGAGAGTTGGTTTGCTAACCTCTAGTCTCGAATCCGGGTTCAAATCAGTTAGGGAAAGTAAACGCGGATGGGCATGTGGCTGACCACACTAGCTCTTCATATGCCGAGGTTACAGAAACACGTGAACTCTACTTCACTTGCACAAGACCGTCAGGTTTGAAAAGGGAACTTTACTTTTACTTACTTTTAGGGATTCTTTGGAAATATGGTTGATAATATTATAGTTGTATTAGCCGTTATCGGATAGGCTTTGCTCCAGTCATGTAAAACCATGTCAAATTGTAAGTTAACACAAATACTCATCGAATAGTTATAAAAATCAAACAAACGACTAAACAAACATCCACTCCATTTGCTTTTATAAACATAAATATGCACCAACAGATGTTTTTTGGAAACAGAGAATATCCTAAATTTATTTGACGTGTGAGCGGGCTTGACAATCGTTTCGTATTGGCAGTGAAAAGGAAGGCTAGAAAGATATATAGATAAATAATGGAGCAGTAGAAACCATGACAAATTGGGGGAGTGGCTAAATGAATCCCTAAACTTGCATACAGTTAATCAATGCTATAATGTAAGGCCATAGCGCTCACTTAATCGTCATAGAAAATGGGAGGAACTCTTTAGACCAGGGGTCTCCAAACTTTTCAGCCCGAGGGCCGCATTAACTATCAAATTTCAGTTCGGGGGCCAGTTTCTTCCAGGCAAGTCTTTGATTGTTCTGGGCAAAGTTCCTCAGCCATCACCAACAAACGTTTTTTCCATGGACAAAAGGATCTCCGCGGGCCGGATGAGAGGACCTCGCGGGCCGTAGTTTGGAGACCCCTGCTTTAGATGAACTCGCTAAATGACATACCGATGTGGGAAGTAACTAGAAATGTGTCGTTTCTAAATTTAACTTTATCGAAAGTGACTTAAATTTATATACTTTTTTTGGAATAGAATTAGTTAAAGTTGCGATGAATTAAAAACAAAGTAAGAAAAAAAAATAATTTTAGAATTCATCAACCTCTTTTATGTATTAGGGAAATGTGTTTTTTAACATGTTAAACACAACCTTCTTCAAGATAGTAGTCACTAGTAGGTAAGAGAAGAAAAAAGGAATGCGGTTTAATTGCTCATAGCCCTACTACATTGACTGAAATTTTTGAAAAAATCAACATATTCAGTAACAAAAAAAAAACAATATTAGATTCACATTTTAAAATATCACAAATGTATAAAGAAATTATCTAAAAGTGTTGAAGATAATGTGATTATGTAAATCGTGTAGAAATAATAAAGTCTAATAAACTCGTAAATCGTTATTTGTTATATACGTTTGAACTATTCCCTCCTTACAAGATGGAAAGACTTTCCTTAAGTTTACAAAAGTCCCAGAAGACGTAACAGTTTCAGCCGGAAAAAATCTTCGTTTAGAGTGCTCAGCCGATGGATGGCCGACGCCTAACATCACGTGGCTGGATCGGTTCCAGAAAATTGATGATGTTGTCGTCACTCCAACGGGCTCCGTAGATCTGCCATTGACCAACCTGAGAAGTTCATCCGTCTACACCTGTATGGCTACATCTGCACTCTGGACTATCAAGCGCAACGTGCGTGTGACCGTTGAAGGTACAAAAACAACAAATTAAAACCAGTATAAACAGCAGAGACCGTTTCATACGTCATTAACAAGGTTTAATTTGTTTTGATTAATTCGGAGATTAGTGTCCATCTCTTATATGATGACAACCCTAATGAAACTGTAACCTAACACCATGTAACTAATGTAAAAAAAATGTAACCCTTCCTAGAATATATTTTTGGCTATTTAGTAAATAATCACATCCTTTCATTTTAGAAAAGTTGTATACATTTAAACTGATAAAAAATTAAATATATCTACAATATATATATATATATATATATATAATTATATATATATATATATATATATATATATACTTTATTTATTATATATACTAGCTGTATGTTACTGCACTGCAATATACAATGTACAGTGTTCTTCTAAACATTCCCCCCTTGCTTTTTACTTTCTCGTATATACGAAGTATAGAGAAAGTCTTGTAATCGTGCAAAAAAAAAAAATCGAGATTTTTATAAATCTCGACGTTTCACACCTCACTGATACGGAAAAACATAATTTTGCAATCTTGTCCGTATGTCTGTGTGTCTGTCTGTGTGTCTGTGTGTCTGTGTGTCTGTCTGTCCGTGTGTAAACATGATAACTTGAGTACCGTTACAGCTAGGTTGATGAAATTTCATATATAAGTATTTAATCAAAATCGTAGATCCGTATCAACTTTTGAGCGATTTCCGATAACCGGAAGTGGTACTTTTCCTACTTTGAATTTTTCAAAAGCCTATAACTTGAGTACTATTTCAGATAGATAAACGAAATTTCATATGTAAGTAAAAGATCTAATTCTCTACCTTCTATTAAATTTTGAGTCATTTCCGTTGACTGGAAGTAGTACTTTACGCTACTTCCGATTTCTCAAAAAACTAATGTAAATTTTAAAAGTACTAATAATATTGCGCACCATTATGCGCTTTTTTATTTGGCGTTCACTTGGTGTGCAATTAATTTGTCTACGAGATTTTATTCTATTTTTAAAACTTTAAGTATTTAAAATGGATTAAAAATCATGTCTATAGCCCGAGTTCCCATCCCCTGTTATTTTATATAAGAATATTCGAGAAAGTTTAGGGGAGATAACTCCCGGTTTATTTTTCAGTTGAAACAGTGCCTAAACCACCAAGCAACTTAAGAGTCGTGGAGACCTCTGCGACGTCTGTCACACTGAGCTGGGAACCTCAGACTGCCAATTGTTCGTACATGATTGTGTACAAAACTTGGAGGAAGGGCAGGAATCCATTACATTTCGATTCATTCAAAAGTGGCATCGAGTCGACCAGCTTTACGATAACAAATCTAAAGCCTAACACAACCTACGAATTCGAAGTGATGGCTTCCAGCCATAATGGACTCAGTTTGTCTAGCAAGTCTGTGAAAGTGACAACTAAGGGATCAGGTCGGTTACATATACATTTAAAATATATACAATTTAATTTTTAAAAATAATAATAAATTATATATATATATATATATATATATATATATATATATATATATATATATATATATATATATATATATATATATATATATATATATATATATTTATATACTGTACGTCGACGTATTAGATTTAATGCAAAGTTTTCTGTCAAGTTTGAACGATTTTCGATAACAGGATAGTTGACTCTATTGTCGTGGGTACACGTTAACTAGAATAGCCTAATCTTTCAGCTAGCTGCTAGGTAGACGAAAATAAATGTATAACTATAAATTTAAGGTATCTCCGATATCTGGAATCGGTATTTTATTTCCTAATTCTAAAAACTTGAACAAGTAACTACCGTCCCTGTCAGGTAAACCATATTTTGTAAAAAAGTTATTAAATGCTTGTTTAGAAATTCTAAAACTTATGAGACAGTAAGTTGTGTTATCTTTACCAATTAATCGAATATGGATAATAAGGAACGTGAATGATAGAAAGAGGAATTTCATTGAAGGTTATTTTTAAATGGCTCAATATAATAGAAACAAATGGATTTTTAATTTTCATGTGATTTTTGAAGAAAGGATTTTTTTTCTCATTTACGGTGATTGAAGATCCTCCAAAATTTGTCATCACGCCCAACGACGTTAGTATTCTACCTGGTGAAGACGTAAATTTGACGTGCAGCGCTACTGGGTCACCTGTACCTTATGTCAGGTGGGTGGAAGATGGCGTGCAACTTACTGAACATGATAACTCAACCTTTGGCTTTAGCTCATTGACCTTGACCGACGTACGAAGGTCAGCAAACTACACCTGTGAGGCTTGGTCGTATCACGGGAAAGTCGAGCACCACGTGCAGGTAACGGTGAAAGGTGAGTTGATTCTGGTAGAACAACACATCATGTTTCTACAATACAGTTACCACATCCTAACCTAGTGAGTAGACAAACATTATAGAGTTACACCCTTCAACTAAACAGATTGATCTCACATACTACGATTACTACTCTTTTACTAATACCAAATTCTATTTTTTTAAGCATGCAAATTCAACTGTCTTAAGGTTAACTTTTCTATTTTTGTTTCTCAATAATAACATTTTTTCATGAAATAATATGATGGTTAATCAGTCTTTAAACGTAACATTTTCTCCTCAGTGATTAGTCACAATGCTGTTCTCATCAGTTCCGTTATTGTTTTGGCTGTAGTGCTTGTATCGGCGGCATCATTTGGGTTCTTTTTCTTCTGATTGAAAGGTGGGTTATTGTAAAAGAAGCAAATGTTGTTGTACTCAGTAAAAGGCGATACTTTTATGTAAAATTATCTTATAAATAAATAAATAGATAAATAAATACATAAAATTAAAAAAAAAAAATTAAAAAAAAAAAAAAAAAAAAAAAAATATATATATATATATATATATATATATATATATATATATATATATATATATATATATATATATATATATATATATATATATATATATATATATATATATATATATATGTATGTATATATATATATATATATATATATATATATATATATATATATATATATATATATATATATATATATATATATATATATATATATATATATACTTATGTGTTTATGTTTATTAGTCTCCTATACATATTTAACATTCATTCTTCATTATTGTATTTTATGATACATTTTCACTTCCTTTGTGAGATTTAAACGGCGTCTGTTTGTATTTAATGAAGGTGAAAGTTCCTACCTTGTAATTCATGAGACAGTTTGACAAGGATGATGGTATTTTCCTAAAAAATATATTACCTGATGAAGCTCGTCTTTTGGCATTAAGGACGTAGCAAAAACAAAAACAGAAACAGGAGGTCTTAAGCAATTATCAGAATAAATTTCAATACATTTGTCCATGCTTATAGTTAACTTGAAATATTTGATATAAGGACACAGATATTAATTATAAACGACTTTGTTATTATACTTTTTCTATTTTAAAATTGTTACAACCAATCAACACATTGCTTTTATTCCTTGAATGTTTTTATTTTCACAACACCTCTTTTAATTTTTACAAATTATACTCGTTTGCACATCTTTCTTTATTTAGTATCAAAATGTAAATTTGGTTTTTAAAATCTATAGTTTTAAAACACTGTGTATGTGATAATTAAAATAAAGTTGCACTGATTTTTATTACAGACTGCTTGAATTGAAATGTTTTAAAATTTTACATGTGTATAAGAAGTAGTTACTTATTTTAAAAATTTCATTTAATATTTTAAAGTAGTATCAATATTTTTTTACAGCAAACACCCCAAACCAAAATTTACAAAATCCATGTCCACGTGTCAACACACGTGTCAACACACGCTTAAACACCACCCCACAGCCTAAATCATAATTTCAAACACCCAACCGTGTTTTTATTCGTAAACGACAAACGCCTCTTTGGATATTTACCCAAAATCTGGATGTCCTAAGCAAAATTCCAATTTAGTTTTTTAAATATTTTACTGTACTGATAAAATTTAAACAAATAAACGACCAAATATTTATGCGCATGGTAATTTTGTTTTGACAAAAACAAAATATCCATGCCACAACCTATTGTATCGAGTGCTAAGAATAATGTGTTTTATACATTAACGTTAAATATATACCATGCTATTGTAAGTCATTATTTACAATGGTGTACCCGATAATGACGGAGTGGTCTAACGCAGGGGTCTCCAAACTTTTCAGCCTGCGGGCCGCCTTAACTATCAAATATAACTTCGGGGGCCAGAGGTTCTTCCAGGCATCTCATTGGGGTGGCATTTTTCCACAGTCACCTACGACAAAAAGATCTCCGAGGGCCGGATGAGAGGACATCGCGGGCCGCATTCGGCCCGCGGGCCGTAGTTTGGAAACCCCTGGTCTAGCGGTAGAGAGTTCAAGTCAGTAGCCCGTCCCTGAGTCCACCCAACTCTGATGGGTACCAAACTCACGTTAGAGAAAGTAAAGGCGACTGGGCATAGTGCTGACCACACTATCTCTTCATATGCCGAGGTCACAGAAACAAGTGACCTCTACTTCACTTGCCCAATAGACCGTCAGGTTTGAAAGGGAAACTTTACTTTACTGATACCCGCTAAAGACGATCACCTTAAACGTAAATCCGACAATCGTAATACATGTGAAGTGACGGTATTATACTAACTGTTGTATCTATAATTGATATTTATATATAGATTTTGCTACGAATCGTATATATATTTGAATAACATGCATTAATGTATTAAAATAACTGCCGAATGTGTAGGTTACTACTTAATATATCAAACGACCCAGCTACTACTACCAGCGAAGATCAAACACTACCTACAACTACAAAGTCAGCCAAATAATACAAAGACACATAAAGACCATATACTGTTTAGTAATGTGATGTACTTTATTTGAAATGTAAGAAAAACTTCAGAGAAAATTCAAGAAATGAAAACTGTTTTACTTTAATAAAACGGTATGCAATACTATGTTTTTAATGTATTTTAATGTATTAACGTGCAACCTATCTACACTATAAGCTCCTGGTTCTAATGGAGTAAATGTGCGAAGAAATCTATTAAACATAAAAAAGGTATACAAGAAGCCATTCTTGATTTATCGCACATGTTCGTTACGATTAAACTATCGTCTGTATGTACATTAAGATGGCCCACTGATTTCTCCCTTTTAGGGTATTTATACGTATAGAGTGATGGATGCAGGCGTTGTACTGAAATAGCAATATAAGGAGTCGTCAATAAATGATGTCACACTCAAAGGGGGAAGGGGGTCCATAATTTTGTAACGGTGTGTGATGAGGGGTTCAGATGGTGGGACGTAACACTTTTGCATCATAAAAAAGCAAAGTTTGAAAACTAATTTTAGCCGTTATTTCGCGATTTAGAAAACTGTTTTAGTAAATTGTAATAGGAATTGATTAAAATACTCTATTCGAGAGAGTTCAGACAAGATTTTAGAAAAATATCGATGTTTTAAGAAAATTTCAACTGCAATTTTGAAGGGGGTGTAGGATTAGGTGTGACGTCATTTTAGTGGGGATCTGCTTTTTTTTTACGATGTGTGGCGGAGGGGATGGGGGAGGCAAAAAGCGTAAAAAAAGCGTGACGTCATTTATGGATGACCCCTAAACTCTTACGTGTACAAGTAATGATAGTGGTCTGCCATGAAAGCGCTATTTTTGTAGAGCTGATTTGGAGAAGTGTTCGAACGTCTGACTGGTGGGAGGGCAAGGCGATTTGGTGTGGCGTGAATTGTTAGGTTCGAATCCCTTTGGGGTTAAAACTGCTCTGTATCTACTTGGACAATATTCTGTACCTTTGTCAACCCTTGGCGTTGTAATACCACTTTATGTTTATATTGCTATTGGGGTATTCATACACAACTTTCTTCGCTCCCTCCTGGCATAGTCTTTATTATCATAAAATTAATATGCATAGTATGTACACATCTATACAGTGAAAGAAGTAGCTTACGATGTAAATCTACAAAAGTCAACTTATGTCGAATGGTGAGCATAGTAATGCACCAGCAGTTGGTTGTGGTTAGGGTTAGTTAACAGTACGCTTAGGGTTATGTGTGATTTACTTAAACGTCCATATTTGCAAATAGACATTTCATTTAAAAAGTAATATATTTCCTAAACCCGGGCATGGTGGGTTTATGATGATAAATAAACAAACAAGTTACGGTACTTTCAGTTAGGTTTGTAACAGAGGCCAGTGCAGGCCTGGTCGAGACGGCTATTGTGTTAACTATACGTTAACTAGCAAGCTAACAGGCAATTTGTCAATTATTCATTCAGCTTGCAAGTCATTCAATCAGTCATTCTTTTAGTTAGTCTTCTTATGTAATTTATTTTCAGTAAAATACTATCATACAAAATTATAAGCAAAAGTAACATATTAATTCACTAATGTATCGATATTTAAAGTACAGTGATTCTATCTTTTCTCCAAAAAATATTTAAATTGGGATATTTTTGTGATGCCAAACAAAGCTATTTCACTTAGTTTATTAAAAATTTAAAAACTTTAAATGCGTTGTACACAAAAAAATATTAAGGAACTTAACTATTTTAAATAAAAGTGTTACATTTATAACACTTTTAATCATAGCAGTCAGTTAAAAATAAAAAATAAAAACAGACAATAATTCTTCAAAAAATTCAAATTAATAATACTATACAACAAGTTATAAAAATATTCCTAACGAAACAATTGTAACATTATGTAGTTAATAATAGATTATAACATATATATATATATATATATATATATATATATATATATATATATATATATATATATATATATTTAAAAAATTAAAACTAAGGCGTTTATAAAATTTTCAAACTTTTCCAGAAATCTGATACATTGGATTTATTTTAAACATGAGTTTGCTGGAAGTCATTTGTTTCGGTTGTTGATTCTGTCAAATCCTGCTTTAAAAGGCAAGTGTTGTCAGTATATGCAGTTGTAATAGAGAATGTATCATCGTTGAGCGACGTAAATTTGATTTGGGGAACTTTGTCACTATGAATACAAATTCTGTAACATATGAATGTATATATATATATATATATATATATATGTATATATATATATATATATATATATATATATATATATATATATATATATATATATATATATATATATACATACATATATATATATATATAATAGATATACATCATGTTAGTGATAATCAACTATTACACTATATAATAATAATATTATAATTATCACATATTCTAGTCTCATGTAAATTTAAAAAGGTGCAAAAAGGAATATAGAAATATACGCACCTATATTTTGCTGAAATAATTATAACATAATTTGTTTAGCTTCACAACACACACACACATATATATATATATATATATATATATATATATATATATATATATATACATATATATATATATATATATATATGTAAATGTATGTGCTTCTGTATAAAGTAAATAAATATTCATACAATGTTTAATATTTTTGCATTTTCCTCTGTAACAATAATCATATTCTAAGCTATACATTTTCAACAGCTGTCGTTTTTTTTTAATTTTTTTTTTAATGACTTACCTTTAAGTCCTATTAGCAAGTAAGCACTTGATATAGCTAATATAAGCAACACAGCACCGACAATTGTAGAACTAATTAGGATAGTTCTTTCACTATTTACTGTAGAAAGATCATTATAGTTAGTAGTTGCATGTATGTTTTGTTTACAAATAAAAACAGTTTTTGGTGAATTTTGGCAATAGAATCTTTGTACGCGTTTTATTATCAGATTTTGCCCTCCTTTAGTTTACAGTTTGTAAAATTTGTTGGAAATGCGTAGCCGAACGATAGTGGGCTAGACTTCTAGAGAGCTAGTTAGTAGAATGTTTGTTTTTCTACCCAGCTCTGATAGGTACCCAAACCACGTTAAATAAAGTTAAGGCGGCTGGACATAATGCTGACCACACTATACTTTTATATGTTGAGGACTCGTAAACAAATGAGCTACTTAATCTTGGTCACGAACAGGAAAAGATAACAACTCACGCGACTTATGCGTGTAGTATTTTTACTTTCTCGTATAGAGAAAGTCTTGTAATCGTGCAAAAAAAATCGAGATTTTTACAAATCTCGACGTTTTACAACTCACTGATACGAAAAAACATAATTTTGCAATCTTGTCCGTATGTCTATGTGTCTGTGTGTCTGTCTGTCTGTGTGTAAACACGATAACTTGAGTACCGTTACAGCTAGGTTGATGAAATTTCATATATAAGTATTTAATCAAAATCGAAGATCCTGATCAACTTTTGAGTGATTTCCGATAACCGGAAGTTATACTTTTTCTACTTTGAATTTTTCAAAAGCCTATAACTTGAGTACTATTTCCGATAAATAAATGAAATTTCACATGCGATTAAAAGATCTAATTTTCTACCTTCTGTCAAATATTGAGTAATTTCCGTTGACCGGAAGTACAGATTTACGCTATTTTCGATTTCTCAAAAAATGCATGTAAATTTATAAAGTACTAATAATATTGCGCACTATTATGCACATTTTGTTTTGGCGTTTGCTTGGTGCGCAATTCTTTTTTCTATGAGATCCTATTCGATTTTTAAAAGTTTAAGTAATCAAAAATCATGTTTATATTTCAAGTTATATAAGAATATTCGAGAAAGTTTAGGGGAGATCACTCCCGGTTTATTTTTACCCTTTTTTCCCGTCTTCACTTGAATAGGGTGGCTCGGCCAGCTACGACCCATTACGTTGACAGCCACCACCCTGAATGTGTAGTTTGTGTTGGGTTTGAGGTCTGTAATCGTCAAGCTGGTCTTGTAAATGCCGGATTTGGATAGGTTGTATCTAGAGTCGTCGCCCCTACTCCCAACATGGTACTCCACGATGTACGAGCAGTTTGCATCTTGTGAGTCCCACGTCAGTGCAACGGAAGTATCGTCGATTTTCACGATTCTAAATCCGCTTGGAGTCTGGGGTACCGTTTCATCAGCTAAACGTACGGGGTGGAGAAAAAAGTGATTAAAACAAAAGAGTCATCCTTAAATGACGTTACCGTTTCGTCGAGTTTTACCTCACCCCTCACACTCCTCACACATTGTAACAAAAAGCCACCCCCTTTAAAATGACGTTACAACTCAGCCTACAACCCCTCACAAAATTGCAGTTAAATTCTCTTGAAAACATCGGCGTTTTTCGAAAATCTTGTCTGAGCTCTGTCTAAATGGAGCATTTTAATCAATTTTTATAACAATTTATTACAATAGTTTTCTAAAACGCGTATCACCGGTTCAAACTCGTTTTCAAACATTGCTTTTTATAATGCAAAGCGTGACATCACCTCATCTGAACTCTCACACTGTCACAAAATTACGGACCCACCTCTCGCCTTACGAGTGTGACGTAATTTATGGACGACACCCTAAAATATAATATCGATTTCATTACCTAAATACTAAATCATTAACGGTACTATTATATTTTTGGCAAGGATTTTATTGACTGAGAAGTTGATTAAAATGTGTTTACAAAAATGTTAAAAGAAAAATCATATCACAATAATCAATGAAAAGAAGTCAATGTTTAAATTCGCTAATGTTCTTACATTAACTCTATTGATATCTCACATCGTGTCTTACAATTTATGTAAGATATCAGATTCTTACTTTTTTATATTACTAGATGATAAAGAACACGTGCGGTGAATGAATGAAGGGGGGAAAGTAGGGTTAAAATTTGTTTTTATGTTTTACACTGTACAATATTCATGCGGTGAGTTTTATTAGTGTATATAAAATGTGTGATGACGTGTATGATGAGTCCAGTTCATCTATCAGGTTAGTGTAGGTTAGTTATGTTTATTATATATAGCCACTGCGTCGTAGTTAGTTTACTAGTTCGTGATCGTATTTAGAATAGCCTGTATTTGTGTCGATAGTATTCAACTCTTTTATTGTTCAACAATAATTATTTTTATTTAGTATTGTGTTTTGTACTCGTTTGTGGTTGTTTGTCTTATATGTTGCTGTTGCTTGACGCACTTGAGTACTAGTAATAAAATGTCAGTGTGTTCACAACAGTATGGTAATAAAGATTCACATTGTCATACAACATAATGCACTCACCTTTCACTATCACCTGCACGAGATGCGTGATTTTTCCGTGATCTAAAAATGCCTCACATGTGTAGTTCGCTGACGTCATGACGTCGATCAAGGTCAGTACGCTAAAGCCTAGCGGTAAGTCGTCATTTCCTGTTAGTTCTACGGCCCCGTCCATCCACCTGACGAAAGGCATGGTGGGTCCAGCAGCTTCACATGTCAAATTCACATCTCCACCAGGTCCAATACTCACGTCGCTCGGCACGACCACAAACTCAGGGATAACTTTTTCACCTGTCAGGAAATTTAACTTTGTATTTTCCATAGTTTATGTGTGATTCAGGCACTGTTGTGTAGCAGGTAGTAACGTAAGACATGTTACACAAAGACAATAACAATTTTCTTTGCGGTAAAGCGCGATGCTACTAACCCGAAAATCTTCAGTTCGAAAACATGTTCAAGACAGTAGAATATCCCCGGGTCCACCAAGTGGGTACCTAATTCAGGTCAGAGAAAATAAATGCGGCTGTGCAAAATGATGACCACGCCATCCCTTCATATGCCTAGGTCAAGAAATAAATGAACCCACTTCACCTGCCCAATGGATCGCTAGGCCTAAAGAGGAATATTTGCTAATAAGATAACCTACCTTTAACGTAAACATTCACAGTATGTGCAACTATCCCTAAATCAGAGGACGCTTGACAGGTGTAGTTTTCTGAAGATGTTACATTGATCAGATACAGAACGATAGACTTTGTTTCAGTTCGGTAAACATTACGAATCAGCCCATACATTTGCATCCATTTGAGAGTAGGTCTCGGCCAGCCATAAGCAGAGCACTCAAGCCGCACGTCGTCGCCAGCTGCGATGATCATGTCTTCAGGGACTTTTTTAAACTTTGGGGGCAGTTGTCCGTCTGTTAACGTCAACAGAATTCAAAATGAAATTAACATATTTCAAGAAAAAGAGTACTCCGAAGGGATAAGAAAAAAAAATAAGGAAAATTGAAAATATTGCAAAGCATGCTATGGACTGAAACCCCCATGGAAAAAGGAAAATGGGCCGTCCAAAGAAAAAAACGGAAAAGAACGGTTGAGGAAGAGGCAAAGACAGCTGGGCTCACGTGGGCACAGATTAAGGGAGCAGCTCAAAACCGAGTCCGCTGGAAATGTGTAATTACAGCCCTTTGCTTCCCAGGGGCCACAAAATAACGATGATGATAGGAAAATTGTAGTAACGTCAACTTTATATTGCCTACTGTACTTTTTATATCAACCGCTCTACAATCGTAACAATTATTTCCTTAATAATACTAACCGACTTTATATTTCTTACTCTACATTTGTATTATCTACTTTCAACCCTCTCTTTTAGTAAAAATTATAACACATGTTAGAAATTACCTTTAAGGTATACCCAAACAGCTTTTGAATAGGCAATTCCAAATGTATTCTCGGCAATACATAAATATGAACCTAAATTGTAGTGATCCGCTTGAAACATTATTGTTTCGCCTTTTGAAATCAAATTGGTAGATTTATATTATTACAGGATGTTTTATGAATATTAATATATAACATGTTTATAATAATAGGGTGAAAAAAGTCTTACTAATTATGTAGCATGGGACGAGATTGCCTATGGATAATTCAAAATCTCGAGTTCGAATATGGGTTCGTTATTAGAACGTTCATAGATCCACCATGCTATGATAAGTATCTAAATCACGGTAGGGAAACCAACAGCGTAGGGCGGACCACACTATCCCTTCATATGCGGAAGTTCTCTGAAATAGATTAACTCTACTTCATCTGTGTCTTGAGCACACACGGAAGAAAAAGATGATTATTAATTATGTAGCACACGTTAATTTTTTTTTTAATAGGTTATAGCTGAAAGTGCAGTGAAATGATGTCATCGATGTATCACTTGACTGGATTCACCTGTATCCGAGATGACATAACGGTCGTCACTTTTCAACAACTGGTAAGTCTTCAACCATGTAATCTTGGGCTTGGGGTCGCCAGAGGCTACGCAGTTCAAGGTAATGTTTGCTAAATAGTCCACGTGCATGGTACCGGGATGCACATCAAACTTAGGAAATCCTTTTGGAATCTCTGTAACAGTGAAGTTAGCAAGGTAAATTATAGTATATTTTAAATATATTGTGATATAAAAATATATTATTTCTGTGTCATAATAGTGAAATTCAATCAAAATATATAGATTGTTTCACTTAATTCAATGCAATTTATTTTTACTATTGATGGATATCGATCATAAAATATCAGCCTATTTTTTTCTAACAATCAAGGAGACTATAAAGGATATATTAGTTTGACTATTTTTCAATACTTAAATTAAGTAAGCCTATAACAAAAATGATTACAAAAACAATAATTGTAAAATTGTAAGCAAAAGCTAAAACGCTTATAAAATCAAACTATAATTTTATAAATAATAATTTTAAAAGAATAATTCGAATCCTAAATGCAATAAATAACCTATACATGCTATCGTTTGTTAGTGTTAACTTTAGGTTAACTGTCGAGTGGTGTACATATATTAACATTTCATTTTCGAAGTTGTATTTTTAAAAAGCAAGTAATATAAAATTAAAAAAAAACATGAATTAAAATACAAGAAATCTATTTTTAAAAATCAATTATGCTACCTTCAGAAAACTATTTATATTAGTTTCTCATACTACTTCAGTAAGTAAATTATGTGTTGGTCATTAAAATAAAGACAAAAACAAATAATTCGTGTATGTATTAGCAATATAATAAAGGCCAAGTTTTAAATACATAATGAAACAATAAAATGCAATGCAGTTTTACAAGTAGACCTTTGTCATTTCGATAAATCTTTAATGTTGCTTCCGCTTTGAGAGTAAAGACTGTATAGTCTGCAAAACAAGTGTAGTTTGTGTTGTCCGTTTTTGCCTTTACAGGATCAATCTGTAACATCGACTTGCAATCTGTCAGAGCGAGCACGGAGATTCTTTCAGGACTCTGTATCCCATTCCGACGAAAATATTTATTGCTCGGGTACCCAGAAGTTTCACAAAAAAATATGACCTTGCTATTATCGAGAACTCTAGCGACCTTTGGAACCAGGGAGATTTTCGGTGGTCCTGTAAATACATAAAGAGCCAGATTAGAGCAAATTAGACAACCGACCATACAATCACTTAGTTAAGATTTAAATGTATAACCACATCGTATTGGCATCATTTTATTTAAGTTAAGTGCAACGTGAAAGATTAATGTAAAACATAACCGTCTAAACAAATAATTCTCGTTTAAAACAGTTTAATAAAAATTGTTGTTATGATTTTTGATGAAAATATATTTGTAAATTAGTTCAGATTCAAACTTCTTACTTTTGCAAAAAGTCTAATTTAAATAGAAATGAAAATTATAAGAAAGACAAATCTCCCCCCCCCCCCACCGTAAAAGATTATTTTTTTTCAATTAGTTAATATTAAATTCGGCCGACTTAGTAATAGATGCTTATCGTGCAAAACTTAGAGATGTAGTAAATTGAATATAAACGTTCACAAAGTAATTGGACTTTTTACAATATTTGTCAAAAACTAGACACATAAGTGCAAATGAATTGTACGCAACGTATACTCCACTGCATATAATATTATCGAAATGTAATAAAGTAACTTGGCAGCTTGCGTACCCTGACGACCCCCAGAGCTATATTAGCGGGAGTGTAAACTCCTGGCAGGTTCAACCAAGCTGGGAAGGTCTGCGCGGGTAGGGATCAGACCAAAGCTAACACCCTGGTCCTCCAGGTTGGGGGTTGAGCATAAGGTCAGCAACCTCATCTCGTTAAAACAACTATCGCTACAGAAACGCAGACAGAGAGAAACAAAGACAGCTTGGACCAGGGGAAAAATGAATCTCCCGATGGAGAATTTATGAAGCCGGGTGGTGAAAACCAATATGTATTGGAAACTACCAGGTCGACCACCATTATTTCCACTCGGTCCACCATTATTATTGGAGCTTGAAATGTCCGCACGATGTACGAAGCTGGAAAAGCAACCCAAGTAGCAGCAGAAATGAGACACTATAAAATAGCTATCCTGGGTGTCAGCGAATCAAGGTGGACTGGCTCAGGACAAAAAAGACTTATAACAGGAGAGCTACTGCTGTACTCAGGCCATGAGGATGAAAATGCACCACATACTCAAGGAGTTGCACACATGCTATCAAACCAAGCACAAAGGGCTCTCATTGGATGGGAGGCACACTGCCCGCGGATCATAACAGCTACCTTTAAAACTAAAATAAGACGAATAAACGCGGACATAATACAGGCCTACGCCGCAACAAATGACAGCAAAGAGGAGGACAAAGACGAATTCTACAACAGGCTAATGACCATTATCCAGAACCGCCCAAGAAAAACATCCTTATACTCATGGGCGACTTCAATGCTAAGATTGGAAGCGACAACAGAGGATATGATTAATGTATCGGACAGCAGGGTTTAGGTGAGATGAACGAAAACGGAGAAAGATTTGCTGACTTGTGTGCCACCAACAATTTAGTCATTGGAGGTAGTCTCTTTCATCACAAAAGGATACATAAAGCTACTTGGGTATCACCCGACCTATCTACAGAAAACCAGATAGACCATATATGTATCATAAAAAAGTTCAGGCGATCACTTCAGGATGTACGCGTCAAGAGAGGAGCTGATCTTGCTTCAGACCATCACTTACTGGTAGCTAAAGTAAAAATGAAACTGAAGAAAAACATGTTGGAAAATAAAAGGAAATACAAATACAACACAGGCCTGCTAAAGGACCACTCTAAACTCAATGAATTTAAACTTCATATGCCCAATAGGTTTCAGGTACTACAAGAACTAATAGAAGAAGAGACGATAGAGGAAACATGGAAAAAAACTAAAAGCACATTAACATCAGCATGCGAAGAAGTACTAGGCCCTATTAAAAGACAAGCAAAGGAATGGATATCAGCAGATACCATGAAAATTATTGAAGAGAGAAAAAGAAAGAAGGCAGTATTAAACAAACAGCCGCACACGGGCTACTAAATTAAAAGCACTGGAGGAATACACAGAAACGAACAAAAATGTCAAGAAACACATAAGGAAAGACAAACGGAGTTATTTGGAACTGCTGGCAAGAGAAACGGAAGAAGCTCATAGGAAGGCCCAGGGAGCCAAATAACAACCTTTGGCGAGCCGAGTCCTGATTCGATTTAGTGAATATATCAACCCATTATATCCAAAGTTTATCGCACTGTTTAAAACGAACGTAGTCGCCATAGTTTTACTGCTTAATATAGTATGGAGGACATCCAGTCAACGGATGTCCAAGGCTAAGATAGCCGCTCTGGAACTCTCGGCGCTTAACCGTGTACTGACGTAAATCGCACCCTCCCGGGTTCCGCCCATTAGACATTACAAATGTTTTCTCAGAGTATTCTCATATACTTCCCAAAATTAATGGCACTCAGATGAACGGTGTCAAACCGCACTAGACTTTTTTTTTGATAACTTCGGGATAATAAAAAAAACAAATCTACTTTATTACTTTCTCGTATAAGAAGTGTAGAGGAAGTATTGTAATAGTGCTAAAAAATCGAAATCGAGATTTTCACAAATATCGACGTTTTACACTATCCCTCAGTCAGAAAAACGGTGACCCGTCAAAAGAGCGCACGACAAAAGATCGCCGATATAAGAGCGCAGATAAAAGAGCGCCGACATAAGAGCGCCGACATAAGAGCGCACTAATTTCCTGACAAAAGAGCGCCGACATAAGAGCGCAAACTAAAGATCGAAAAACCATATTTAATAAATAGGAACAAGAAAATTAACTCAGACCAGAAGGTATTGTTTGATGTTAACTCTTTATTGCTACATTAAAAAACTAATTGTACAGTTTCTCTAACTAAAAAACTGGTATTGACGATTGATAATATCTATTGTTCCGAACATCATCATTCTGTAAACGTCAGTCGGTCCGGAATCCTACAAGACTAAATGTTGCCCTCTTGTTGTCGTTTGAAGAGGTTCAGGAATTGTTATCTCTGCAACGTTCTGCGGATTTGGGTATGGCAGCTGCTTGCGTTTTCTCTGTCTTTCTATTGTACGTTGGGAAGCGACGTGTGCCAGCAAATGAGGTGCTACTTACATTGAAATTCCTGCTCTAGCTTGTTGTATAATCTGCCTTAATTTTTCCACCCCTTCCACTGCCCGTGTTCGTATAGCCGAAACAACTTTCGCTGCTTCAATTTTAGCTCCATGTCTTTTTTTAAATTGACTGCGCTCTTATGTCGGCGCTCTTTTGTTTGCGCTCTTATGTCGGCACTCTTTTGTCTGCGCTCTTATGTTGGCGCTCTTTTGTCGTGCGCTCTTTTGACGGGGTGCCCAGAAAAACATAGTTTTACAATTTTGTTCGTATAACTGTGTGCGTGTGTCTGTGAGCACGATAACTTTAGCACCGTTAAAGCTAGGTTGATGAAATTATATATTTTATGTTATCCAATTCGCAGTTCTGTATATATCTAGGTCATTACGTATTTTTAAAGTAGAGGCTCAAACTGGCCGTTTTACCTCGTTTTTTAGTAGTGACTTCAAGTGACTCGCTGGGCCGACTGCGCCCGACTTCATTTTTTGCAACCACATAAAATATGTGCTTGGAACTTTGTGGCAAGAATTTGAACTGATACATTTGAGCGAAAATTCCGTGAATAGTGTGGGAGGTATTTTCGTCTTGGTGATGAATGATGTATGAGAGAACGGGGTCATTAGAAGTGTCATGGTCCCACTCAATAGTAATCGAAGATGAGGTGACGTCAGTACTTCTCAATTTGGTTGGAGATTTAGGCACCCCTGTAGGTTAAGAAAAGCAGATACAAATAAAATAAGCGATGAGTATAAATCTAAAGAAATAATAATTCTTTTTATATTGTAATATGACTACAATGAAGCATTTAATAAAGCATTTTAACATGAATTAACCAAAACCTATGTTGTGAGAGTACCCATGTATGCATGTACCCATCAATTTAGCAATTTATTAACGTGTTATGAGCTTCTTCTTCTTAGTTCTTAATTTTTAATATCGGATGGGAGCGAGCCTTATCTACCAGAGGGTTTAAACTTGAGACTTTTTCGAATTTATCAACCATGAGCTTTTGCCGACTCGACCACACCTCCATCACAATTAAGGATACGTGTCAACTGGTTATGCGTCATTGAGGCCATTGACTCCGATTTCAGCCTGATTTTCTTTTTGGATTTGCTTCCATAGCCTTTGTCCAACCAAGAACAAACTACAAGGCAGAAGTTGTTTGATTTTGGAGTTGTCTCTCCTAGAAAAGTGGCTGTCCCCAGCTAACGAGACTCATCTGCCTTATGGTTCGAACTCGAGACTTTCCGGTTTAGCAACCATGAACTAGATCCATCGAGCCAAACTCAAGGAATTCGGTTCATCTATAGTTCTCTACCTCCCAGCTACGTCACATCACAATAGATTAGTACAAACGTGCCAGAAAAAAATTAAGCTAAAATTGTATAATTTCTTTAAAAAATACTTGAAAATTGTTCAAATAAAAATGACATAGACTTGAATTGTGATCAAAACGTCACGTATCTGGAAAGGTTGAACGAAACTGCTGTATTAGAGGATGGTCACAATTGACTAAAAGGATTTACCACAAACCCACAAACAAACATAGACACTTTGCGAACTGTATTAAATCTTGTAAAAATATATTCACTTCTGGTATACTCCGTATTTCCAAAGACACTGAGACACGTTGTCAAAATTGCGACAAGAAAGTGTGAGTACTCCATTAGATGTGGACGTTTGTCAAATCCTAAACTGTGAATGTCTCGTATTATTTAGTTGCAAAAAGCTTTTAAACGGAGTCAAAAAACAATTCATCCATTTATGGCAACAGTAAGCCGTACACTAACGATTAAACATCGCTTTAAGTATCAGCCACTTCTCAATGTCTAAATTGTTGCTAGATCGTGTGTTTCTCACAATTGTACAATTGTTCAGCCCTCCTATTGTTAAACATAATATTTTTTTGCTACGAAGTAAAGTACGACATGGGTTTTCCAATGATGAGCTCAAAGTGTTAGTAAACTACTCGAAAAATGCAATACGTTTGAAAAGTCTAGACACGTTGAAGTGGTTGCTAATTTAAGTGATGCTAAAATCGTTGTTTATAATGACAGACACTTTAAACACCAGAATTGTGCTTATTATTACTGTCTCGTATATACGAAGTATAGAGAAAGTTTGTAATCGTGCAAAAAAAAAATCGATATTTTTACAAATCTCGACGTTTCACACCTCACTGATACGGAAAAACATAATTTTGCAATCTTGTCCGTATGTGTGTGTCTGTGTGTCTGTGTGTAAACACGATAACTTGAGTACCGTTACAGCTAGGTTGATAAAAATTTCATATATAAGTATTTTATCAAAATCGTAAATCCGAATCATTTTTTGAGCGATTTCCGGTAACAGGAAGTGGTACTTTTTCTACTTTGAATTTTTCAAAAGCCTATAACTTGAGTTCTATTTCAGATAGATAAATGAAATTTCACATGTAAGTAAAAGATCTAATTCTCTACCTTCTGTCAAATTTTGAGTAATTTCCGTTGAATGGAAGTAGTAATGTACGCTACTTCCGATTTCTCAAAAAACTAATGTAAATTTTTAAAGTACTAATAATATTGCGCACTATTATGCACTTTTTTATTTGGCGTTCACTTGGTGTGCAATTCTTTTGTCTACGAGATTTTATTCCATTTTTAAAAATTTAAGTATTTAAAATGGATTAAAAATCATGTCTATAGCCCGAGTTCCAATCCCCTGTTATTTTATTTAAGAATATTTGAGAAAGTTTAGGGGAGATCACTCCCGGTTTGATTTTTGACACGATAATATTTTGTATTGAACAACCCCACTACTTGGGATTTATTTAATGGAATGAATTAGTCTTTTGACTTGCTTGATATCCCGTCTCGATCTTTTACGAAATTCGGAATTTAACAGACAGGAATATATTTTTTTAACAATACAAATTCAGCTTATTTATTCTATAGGTTTGTCCACATATACTTTGAAGAGGGGTCTACACAAATTGTCGCATTCGAGCAAGTGTCTTTTTGTGAAAACTCCCGGTTCCCTTTGTAGAGACGTTGCCAATCGGTAATGGACTGGCGAACAAATTCAAATATATTGAGTTCAATTCTCGAACTTAAGCCCGCAACAGCTACACGTCCCTTAATCTGGAGTGAGTGCTTGCAGTTCATCTGATTAGTCTTTGAGATTTGACTTGGTATTTACTGCGCTTTTTTGTAGGGAATGTGTTGTATTTTGATCTTTATAACTCAGATGATTTAATTTAAATCTCACTAATAACATGATAAGTTGCTTACTTCTAAAATATATGTAAGAGATGTTTTATTCAAAATGTGAGGAATTTCTCATCCATTGTAAGTAATTAATAAGTGTCCAATTTTTCTTTTAAATTTATATAAAAATATGTAGGCCTGCAGTTGTAATATAAAACAATCCACTTAAAACCTAGTAATCAATTGGACAGATACTGTAGACTTCAAATGTTTCTTGACCTCGGCATATGAAGGGAAGGTGAGGGTCAGCACTTTGCCAAGCCGACTTAACTTTTCCTAACATGAGATAGGTACCCACAAGAGCTGGGTAGATTCAGTGATGTAGTAAAGATTTGAACTTTGATTCGAACTCTGGTTAGCAGCCTAGTGCTCTACGCTTAGGCCAGGCTGTCCAATCGAGCTAACGGTTATTATTTAAGATAAGTTTCTTTCTGTCCTATTAACGGAAGATCAATAAAAAAAATTATGTGTTTAATGTATGCATGCTGCCATTTATCATTGTATATAATTGTAAGACGAACATTCGTGTGACTCTTCAGTTTAGGTTGCCCAACAATGGAACTGTTTGATCGATTTGAATAGCCCGATAGCTGTTTGGTATCCAATAGTAAAAAATACAATTGGATATATGGCACAAAGTTATTATTTCTATTTAAAAATTTAGCATGCACATGTATATTCATATGGGCATGCACAAACCCATTTCAAAATCATCCACACAAGAGCACTTATGGATACTTATACAAAAACGTATGTGTTGGTTTAGACAATAAGTGTTATTTTATGACATGGTAAATAGTGTGTGGTTGAGCCATACTTTATTTATCTACAATGGTTCGTGTACTTGTCAGAAAGTATGATTCTTAATTCACTTGAAGATAATGCACGAATATGGTTCGCTGTCTGTCTGTGTATGTATGTATATTTTGGGAACGCTTTTACTATAGAGAAAACAAAAGGAAAGTAAAAACATGCATAGTAATACGAAAAACGAAACTTCACGTCAAAAGGAGCATATAGTAGCAAATAGTCTGAAGCCGGAAAAGTACACACAATAATATGAGGTCAATGATTATCGGGTAAACATTGAATTAAAAAGCAAATTTTGTCTAATCTTAAATGTGGTTTGCGTCCAAAGCTACTTTCATACATCTCTTCGGGTAGGGGCGAAGCTCCCCCCGGAAGAACGTCTAATCCGCCCCTGCCCCCTTCAAATAAATGACGTCATCGATACTCTATAGTGAAATCACTGACATTACCGCCTATTTCATGAGTCTAATCTTAAAAGTGGTTTGTGTGAAGAGTGTCTTTCATGAATCTCTTCGAGTAGGACGAAGCCCCTCCCTCCACCCGTAGAACGTCTACAACCCCCCCCCCCCCCCACGTAGAACGTCTAACCCCCGCCCCCCCCCCCCAATTTTAAAAAACCGAAATTTAATTTATGTAGAAAATATATACTTTTACCAGTGTCGGCCTCTCCCACGCCCGTGAATTTTATTCGATCCAAGTTCCACAACCCTGGAAAAAAGTAGAATGAAACACTGTCTGCATGAGTAAGGTTTATCGGCCAAAAGTAGTAAACGGGTCTATATTATAGAAGTAAGCTCTACCTTTAGTCTGTATGACTTACTAATGCGACCAGTGTTACCTTCAGACTTTTTCCACCCCAAAGGGGAGGGGTGGGTTATTTGAAATGTTCGGGGGGGGGGGGGGGTGGTATAAGTTTTCTGGAGAGGGGTCGTACACTGGTTAAAGTATATATTTTGTATACAAATTCTCTGTTGTTATAGGAGCGGGAGTCTTTCTTCGGACACCCCCCCCCCCACCCCCTCATTCTCCAGAAGAGTTACCTGAAAGAAACTCTAGATTTTTGTCAAGTTTGAGCTTAGGTTCAAGATTTAGGGGTATGACAACGACTATATATTTAACATGGATGAGCAGTGTCTACGTGCCGATTCTTGATAAAAATGGCATTGTTCGTTTTCTGGTTGAAATGAAAGTTGAGGTGGTGATTTTGGTTTTGGTAAAAAGACAACACTCTCAACCTAGCGCCCGTTGTATCTCTCCCTCAACGGGACATTTATCTCGTGCACGAATAAAAAGCATTAAAAAATGGGGAGCTACCTTTACTATATTGCAAGCGCAAGTCTACCGACGTTGACGCCCCTGTTTTATAATATTAAAAAGTAAAACGCTCATAACGGTTAAGCTAGTCGCTTAAATAGTGTTTCTCTGTACATAATAAAAACTTAATTAATATGATATTGTTTAAGACGTTTTTCTTGATCCTATTAAAACTAGTTTCAGCAATCATTAGGTTTCTGAATGATTGCTAAAGTAATTATTATTAAGTATGATAAAGCTTGAAGTAAATACAAAGTTTTGCATAAAATGGAAGATTAATTTATATACTTGTAATCGTTCTTATAAATTTCATACGTACTGTTGATTTACAAATGTAACTTACATGAGCCAAAATTTCAGAATGTTTAGTACTAAATGTTCATTTGCTATGTGTAAGTTACTCTTAACCTTTCTGTTATATACGCCTGGCGACTAGATTATATATAAAGTTATTATTTTTGGTTTTATTACATTTTTAGTTTACATATTAACTTCTTTAAACATTACTTCTAAAAAAATACGTATTGCACTTTTATATATAATATAAATATTGAAAGAGATAAATATATCATTTAATGCAAACAAACTGAATGAAGTCGAGATTGCAGAAAAGTTTGTATTTAATCCCTACAAACTAAACATACAAAGGTGTTTTCTATAAGCATAGCTGAGCATATGGTAATAGGTGTTTAAATAACTGTTCTCAGGTAGGTCTATATAGTATAGCCAGGTCATTAAGAGGCCAAAACATGAAAGCAACAGGCAGCAGAAACAACCATAAAACATATGGAATTAGCCATTAAACGAGCAGAAATAGTCACAAACCCGGGCTGAAACAACGATAACACTAGCAAAAGCAGCCATAAACCATCAGTAACATTCAAAATACCGGTAGTAAAAACTATGATACTTGCAGAACCAGCCATAAAACCTGCTCTAACAAACAAAAACCGGCGGTGACAACCATAAAACCGACAGTAACAACCATAAACCAGCAGAAACGACAATTAGACCAGCAGAAACAACCGAAAACCAGTATATATAACCATAAAATAATAAATAAATAATCATTTAACTAGTGCAGCAGAACGAAAGGCAGAAATCCAAAGTATGGAGAAAATTCCCTGAAATATTCAATGCTTTTAAAATTGTAAACAATTCATCACTGAATTGTTACAGTTTATAACAATAAAGGGGAGGTAATCACAATAAAACTAAGTGCACACTTAAAATCAGAGTTGTACACCGGAGATATTTTAAGGTCTTCAGATACAAAACAACACTTATTCACTAATCGTTTTATTATTATACATCATGATTCTATACCATTGTATTAAGCAGCATTACAATACTAATAATAAAAGCTG